GCGTTGTACGACCTCGACGCCCAATTATTTCACGTGCAAACACAGTTTTGGACTGTGTTGCGACATATCATGGTGTACCTACCCGCGAACCCGACCCCCGGCCGTTGTTACGTGGTATTGGCGAAATGACGCGCTGACACGCTAACACTTTAACTTTGAGTTCGCCTCACACTCAACAAGATCATATGTCATTACCGAAACCATACATATGATTAAGTACTGTGTACGTTCGACGGACTTCCGCACGTCTAGTATTCTTGGCGTCATGTACTAAAATGGCCTCGAATTAACCTTGCTAAACACAAACATAATCTTACCGTCATTGCCACGCATTATAAAGAATACTTTATGACATTTCTATGAGCAGTTCATCAATCCGGCAACGTATTCATGATATCCGATCATTGTGTCGTTGCCACGCGACATCATATCATGCGGCCACCCCGTTCAGGAAATTTTCTGAACACCCTAGAGCCTACGTTGACGTTAGATCATCTACTTTGCATATTTTCATCTTAATGTAGGCTGCAGACTCGTTCATCTCTTTCCTTGTATAGAATGCGCCGAAAGAAGACAAAGGCCATGGTCTTGGATCTGTGGAGATACTGCTTCGTGGGGGAGCGGGCCTCTCGTGTACAAGACTGCTGTAACTCAAAGTGCTACCCACTACTACTACTGCGTCTATTCCAGCCCGTTCTGACCTCAATATTTGAGTATGCAGGCTATCCTTTTTCCAAAGTGCTACCTACTGGGCACTGATCATTGGTACTAGAGACGCTCGCTGAGCATAGAGACTGTCACTCAAGATCTTGAACACAACACTTAGCGAACCCGCTACTCTTCTTTGAAACCGTGTCTCAACTACTCTCCTGCCGGAAGACGAAGTCAGGTGACGTTCAGGATCCACGCCCACTACGCCCACCCATGGTGCATTACCAACAAATACTTACAATTTAGCAGTATCGTGGAATGACTACACGAACGATGCCGGTTCTACTCTACTTATTGGATTTTACTTGCGTACCATGGTTGTGATGTGCATGTGATTGTTCTCCAGCTTTTCGCTTAGTATGTGCCCTCTCCCATAGGATGAGCTGTGGTGCGCGAAACGACAGAACCACAGTACTTTGACGTGACTGACGATGATCCAAAGTTGAGCATCCATCGTAAAATCATACTGTCTTAGTATATAATCTCGCATGTTCAATGCACCCTTTCAAAGATAGTTATCTCAAGACACTACTATCATACAATCCAATACACCACAAACAGATAACAGCATCAGGAAACTTCATGTCTTCTGATATGGCTTCTACCAACTCTTCCCCAGCGCAGTCGCGTACCAGTTTGGATAGTTCGACCACACTGGCGCCACAACACTCCGCCCCCAGCCTCGCGCCCACCATCATCCTCAACGAACACACCTCGCCCGAACGCACTGCGCACGCTTGGTCCACAAAACGAAAGTGGTGCCTTTTGACCGTGGTCGCATTCTGTCAGATCAGTATGAATCTCAACGCCTCGGTATACTCCAACGCCGTGCCTCTGCTGAACGACTACTTCGGCATCACAAACGCCCGATTGGGGATGACTGCCTTCCTCGTCGCATATGCGTTCGGCTGCGAGTTCTGGGCGCCGTTCTCTGAGGAATTTGGACGCTGGCCTGTCATGCAAGCTTCTCTTGGGCTGACGAACATCTCGGTCCTGGTTTGCGCCACGTCCAACAGCTTTGCCGGAATCATCGGTGGCAGGATCATGGGCGGGTTGTCTTCGGCTGGTGGATCGGTCACCATGGGCATGGTCGGTGATATGTATCACAAAGATGAGCAGCAATATGCCGTCTTGTGGTGTTCGCTCTTCTCCTGTCTCGGATCAGTCATTGGAGGCATTATCGGAGGCCCGCTCGAGCAGTTCCTGGATTGGCGTTGGAACTTCTACATCCAGCTCATCCTTGGAGTAACGACCCAGTTACTTCATGGGGCCATCGCCAAAGAGACTCTGGCTCCCGTTATGCTCGACAACGCCGCGAAGAAGGAACGAAAGAGCGGCAATGTCAACATCCGGGGACCGAACGAAGACAAGAAATGGAGGGACAGGCTGCACTACAAGGAAGTTGCCACCACGATGTTTCGACCATATCAGTTACTTCTGACTGAGCCCATCGTCCTGTTCCTCTCGCTGTTGAGCGGTCTCGCCGACGCGCTCATCTTCTCTTTCTTCGAGAGCTTCGGCTATGTCTTCCAACAATGGTCGTTCACGCCTACGCAAATCTCGCTTGCCCTCGTCGCATTAGCCGTGTCATACATCATCGGCTACTTCACCTTCTTCCCCATCATCGCACGTCACAACGCTCGACGTAGCCGAGGCGAACAACTTGCACCTGAGGCACGTCTCAAGCCACTCCTGTGGCTCGTCACCCTCCTCCCTGCTGGCCTGCTTATCTGCGCATTCGTCGCAACAGGGCCACCACTCCACTGGTTCGGCGTCATCATGGCCACTCTCCTCATTGGAGTCGCGAACTTTTCCATCTACTACGCGTCCATCGATTACATGGTCGCCGCCTACGGACCACACAGCGCGTCTGCGACTGGTGGCAACGGCTTCATGAGAGACCTGCTCGCGGGTTTATGTGCGCTTTATACCAAGCCCATGTACAGCAATCTAGGTATTCAGAGGTCGTATCTGGTACTGTTTGGCTTGACAGCGCTGTTTTGTCTTCCGGTGTACATCTTTTACTTCAAGGGTCCAGCGATTCGTGCGAAAAGTAAGTTCGCGAGTCAATTGGCGAGAGAGAGCGAAGCGCGCGGTGCGCCAGAGGTTACGATGAGTTCCGCATCGCCCACGAGGGTCTTTCAGGAGGTTTAGCATTGCGTGTGACAACTTGTATTAGCTTTTAGTTCGGTCCTTGTTTTGGCGAATACCCAGGCGTGCGTAGGTTGCCGTTGCTTTATACGTATATAACAAAAAGAATGATAAACACGATAGGGATACATTTGCATAAGCGCACCATGTGTCCATCCATCAGTTGGCGGGTAATTACTCTGACTTCGTGAGGGCGCGCAGGTGAGAGCGGAAGATAAGTGCGCGTCATGATGACATAAGCACTGCTTCAACTGCCGAGGCTTGCCGTTGGTCGCGATGTTTGACCGGCACCCGCTCAACTGAATCCTCGAGCATGTCATCGAACGGTAATACAAGACTGCATCCTTGAGCAGATCATGATCGACCGAGAGCTCAAAATGTAGCATCCACCATATTGAGCTGATGGCTCAACGCCTCTGATTCTTACTCTTCGCTTTCCAACGTACCTACATAACACGATGGCGCCAGCGAAACCCAAAGATATTGTAATCGTAGGAGGATCTCTAGGCGGCCTTCTGACTGGTGTCGCACTGAAGCGCCTTCGCAAAAATCTCAACATCCGCATATTCGAACGCAATCCGACGCCGCTTCTGCAGGATCAGGGCGCTGGTGTGGTGGCTGGACAGGACGTCCAAAAGTTCTTCAAAGCGCACGACCGAAGTCAAACTACGTTGACAATACCGAGCCATCAACGACTATATCTCGATAAGGAGGGCCGTGTTATAAGCCGTCACAACCAAGAGCAGCACATGACAAGTTGGGATCTGCTGTACCACCTCCTACGAACCAACTACGATGGTACTGAGACCGACTACGCGAAGGTACCCACGACGGAAGAAGGAGAGGGAAAGACATCGTATGAGTATGGGTGTACGGTCACGAGTGTCGCGGCACCAAAACCGGCATCATCTTTCGAATTGGACTTCTCAGAACCCGTCAAGATCACGATCCAACACAAGTCTGGGGAGACGTTCTCGACCGAAGCAGACCTCGTCGTCGCAGCTGATGGACCGAGCTCCAAGATACGCGCCGAATACTTCCCCAACGTCAAGCGGACGTACGCTGGATACGTAGCATGGCGCGGCACAGTACCCGAAACGCAAGTCTCACAGGCTGCCACCGATGTCTTCGTCGAGAAGTTCCCATTCTATCACACCGAGGGTATTCAGATACTGGCGTATACTATACCAGGGAAACACGGAACCACCAAACCTGGTGAGCGACTGCTGAACTGGGTCTGGTACGTCAACTACAAGGAAGAATCGCCGGAGCACGTCGAGCTCATGACAGACAACGAGGGCAAGAGACATCACATCACACTACCGCCGGGTGGAATTAAGGAAGATGTATGGAGACGACAGAAGGATCTCGCGAATGACATACTCCCACCACAGTTCGCTGAGCTTGTCAACAAGACTGAGGTACCCTTCGTACAAGCCATCACAGATGTCATCGCGCCGTCTGCTTTATTGGAGAACGGTAGAGTCCTGTTGCTCGGCGATGCACTTGCTGGTTTCAGACCACACACAGCGGCGAGTACAAACCAGGCTGCCCTAGACGCGATGAAGCTTGCTGGCGCTGTGGAGAAGATTATCGAAGGAGGAGGAATGGACGCGCTGAAGAAGTGGGAGGAAGAAGTAATGGACTATGGTAAAGAGATGCAAAGCCACGGTGTGCAGATGGGCAACCGAAGTCAGTTCGGTGACCATCCGATGCAAAGGTAAAGGTAAATTACGAGGTGTACTAGAGCATTAAAGGTAAAGGTAGAATGTATCTACTATTTTCTGTTTCCCTAGTTAATAGTTGTAAGTTATTAAGGGGACAAATTGCGAAGCATTTCTTGGTCTCTTACCTTCAATGTTCTCTTATTGTAATTAATTTCCTATACCTGTTGCACCGTACTTTACTATACATCTCACCGTTCTTTAGGTACACTCTACGTTCCCTCTCTTACCTTTCAAGACACCCCGCTCTCTGACCGCCTAGCAAGAGAGACGCTTGTCACATATATAAGGCTCACTTATTGTCCTCCCTCCATCCCTTCTACACTACCACAATCGAGACACACCCTTTGACGTTTCATCTACTACTCCACTACACCACTCTACCAACTTCACGGCCTTCTAATTGACGACAACATGGATGGGCCACCAAAGCTACCAGACATCCTTGACTATTATGACGTTCTCGGGGTCAATGAGCGGGCATCGTACGCCACAATCGAGAGATGCTTCAAGCGATTACAACAATCGCATCATCCAGACAGCAGACGAGCTGGCGCGCATCCTAGCACTGTGATCTTCCAGAACGTGAGTGCTCTCATTAGACAACTGATGACATTCCGCTAACTATTAACTATAAGGTCGGCATTGCCTGGGATACGCTCGAAAGCGACGGGAAGCGCGCCAAATATGACAAGAGCTACCCCCGGATACGAAATCAATGGGCCGTCTATCGAACCAACCTCGCCAAATGGAACGCTGATCAACGGGAAATTGAGCAGCAACATGCTAGAGCCGCAGCACGACGAAAAAAAGTGGATGAAGAGAAGATGGAGATTGAGAGGGGTAAGCAAAAAGTATTGGTAGAGAAGGCAAAGGAAGCCACAAGACATCAGATGGAGCGCATGGAGACTGAGAAGGCACTTCTTGCCAAAGAAGCCAAGGCAAAAGAGCAAATTCGGCAACGAGAACAGGAAGCAATACGTGCAAGAGAGCGTCTCCAAGAGGAGAGCAGAAGACAGGAGATAGCTCGAGCTGAGGAAGAGGCCCGCATCAAAACTGACTGGGAGAAAGCACAAAAACAAAGAAAAATGACTGAGAAAGGATCGCCACAAGATACTTCGAATGAAGACGGAGCGCTAAGAGAATTATGGCGAGAAAAGCAAGAGCGAACTCGTGAACAGGCCAAGAGGGCGGAGGCTACAAATGAAGAAGCAGCGCAGGAACGTCTCAGGAAGCAGCAGGAGAACTTGCATCAAACGAGCGAAGACGACCACGATCGATCTGCAGAACCTACTTCGACCGAAAGTCAAGAGAGAGAACGACTCGCTAATAAACAGCGCGCGGCAAACGAAAGAGAGGCCAAGGTCATGGCCGATGCACAGAAAAGACAGAGCGAGGCAGCTGAAGAGCGCCTTCGTCGTCAAGAAATCGATGCCACATCGCTCAAGCGGCCACCTGCTGATGATGTCGAGGACGAGCAAGATATGACAAATCCCAAAAAGCCCAAAGTCAGAGAGTCTATGACACCAGGCCTCCGTAAGCACATGGCCCGGGAACAAGCCCGGCGAATACACGCTCAGAGACTTCAGGAGGTAGGTGGCCCAGGAAACGAAGAGCGTCTGAGAGACGTCAGTATCGACTTGGGATGGAAACATGTGGACTATCAGAACAGGGCATGTCCTCAATGCCACACGAAGAGGAGTGCGGCACAATATGGTCTATGGCAATGTCCAGAAGGAGGGGCATTGAGATGCCGACCCTGTCTAGCAGCACTGAGTACGTTCAGTGCTTGATGTGGGTGTAAGGGTTTGCAAAGGACGGGACTTACGATCGGGCGAAAATTTTTTGTTCACAAGCTTTACGATATGCATAACGTGATTCAGCGGCTAATTTATCCCATCCTTTGCTATCACAAACTCAGCCAAAAAAGAACACCAAGCTGGCTAGTCTAGTTCCTACATGTGCATCCACAAGTCACCAAGTGCCATTATGCTGCATTAAGATCCAAAGATAACGCAATGTGATTCTCAAATGCTATATACACTCCACCAATGCTCTATATACACCGTCTCGTAAGCCTTAGCGAGCGACCCCAAAGAAGTATGTAACCATGAATGATTCAGTCCATCCTATGCCCTCCTGACATCTCATATCTCATTATTCGTGTTCGTTCGGATCTAGTACTCGAGGTCCTTGGGGTGGCGCTTGGCGAGCTTGTTGACAGCAGGGCCGGGAACGGGGTAGCTGGTGAAGGACTGGAAAACGTTGAACTTGATGCCAGCGTCGTCGGCCTATATCATCTCGTTAGCACATATTCGATATTGCATCGTACGACTCAAGTGGAAGATCTTACCTTGTACAAGCTGGTACCAGCAACACCGCCGCTGGGCTTAGCAGTGCCAGAGCCCTCAACCTTGAAGTTTACGCACTGGGGGTACGCCTGGGCGCCGTTGGTCTGGCCAGCAGCGTGCAGAGCGATGATCTCGTGGCGGACGACATAGTTGCCAGGAGCGACGTTGGGGAAGGTGAGGTCCCAGGCGAAGTTGTTGGCGATGAGGTCGTCAGTAGCCCACTTTCCTGGGTTGCTTCCTGACTTCCAGGCGCTGGACTGGATCTTGGTCCACTTCAGGTCCGAGGGGCTGACGGAGCCGCAGTCGCCGTTGCACGGCGCGATGTACTCCTGGATGGGGCCAACGTGGCTGACTGGCCAGGTGTCCCACTTGAAGGTGACCTTGCTGCCGGGCTTGACGGTAACGTAGGCGCCGTTGCTCTTGCCCTGCTTGTGGCAAACGATGGCGGCAGTGCCAAAGCTGTCGGGGGAGACGAAACCGTTGTCAAGGTTGTCGGCTTGCCATCTTTTGGGACTGAGTCAGTGTATGTTTCCCGTGCAGTTCGTACAGAGTCACTTACCCTACGGTGGCGGGAATGGGGGTCTGGTACTTGAGAGCAGCGTTCCAGCCCTGGTATTCCTTGCCGTCGGCAACGACCTTGTCGACGTGGCCGTGGGCTGCCACAAGGGGCGCGAGAAGGAGGAGGAAAGAGAGCATGTTGATGGTATTCAAAGTGAATGACTTGTAGAAAGCGATTGTTGAAGCTGTGTAGTGATGGGCTTGCTGTCGAAAGTGACCTTCAACCTGGGACTTAACGCCCCTTCATATACTCCTCCGAAGTCTTCTAGTGGCCTTCTACTGACGCCCACGTTTTCCCACGACCAGGTATTGGCGAAGCCTTGCAATCAAAAAATTCATCTCCATGCACGAGTCGACCTGGTTTCTGAGTTGAGCGCCATCCGCTCGTGGAAACACGCCCTGGTCGTCGAGCTCTTGGATCATTGGAAGCCCAGCGGTGTTTCCAGTCTGGTGACGGCGTGAAACCCCTGCGATAGGCTAGGAGAATTTCAATGACTCCAGTATTAATTTATGAGACGCAGTGCTGTCCTTGAAGTGGTGATGGGCAATCTATCCTCGGCTGCGGCCACTGCCGCCGTCCAAGTGGTCACCAACCACGTGCGAGTTTCAGCCACTACGTTGTGGTACTTTGTTTACTTAAACTCTGGGCGATGTGGACCTCTCGGTGTATTGACGGGACTCAACGAAGAATATTGTCGTTGTTGTATCAAGCTGCATGCTCAGGTACTCAACAGCCGAGAGTAACGATGCGATGCTTAACATTCCGCTGATGGCGCAACTCAGCAGCTCACGGGAACCAGCACGGATCTACGGCAGTCATACTGTAAGCCCTATGGCTACCGAAATGCAGTGTAACTAATACCCCGTGGGGTCTTGGACATACTTGCAGTGTTGCTGCAAGTGTTGCTGCATCCGAGTCGATTATATCCGGTGGCGTCAAAACCCAGGGCGTTTAATGTATATAGATTAATCACGGACCGCGAACCCGAACGTCAACCCACTTTGTGGCGATGCATCTCTTGCACAAGGCTGGCGATCGATGCGTGCATCTCTGAAACGTCTCAGGTCACACGAAGTGCAACTCATCTAGAGAGGCATTCCATCTACTCCTACCACGATGTAGCCTCGATTCTTTAAGCACTGGTTTGCCCAACTTCTCCGTCTCTTGATGTCTTTTCGAAGAGTAGATACGCTGATTGCTAATTCCGAGATGCCCTGATCTGGATTCGTGGAGGGCCTGTTGGTGTAAATGTCCATTACCAATTCTAGGTCCAGAATCTCGTCGCTCGGTGTGTGTCCGGCCATAACAGATTAACCTGGAGACTCAACAGAAGGAAGGTAGCATCGACAATCTCTCTCGATAAGAGATCCCATTAACATTCTCTTGCTGCGTCAGGTAGAATGGACGTCGCCGGCGCGACTGGCGCTTCGGTCTTTGAAACCATTGCGTCCGTCGCGCGCCCACCACGCCCGCCCTTGCTGAAGCGCATACCTGGGCATCATCATGTGTTGCTACTGAAGAATGCGCATCTGCGTCAAAGAGGATCACGTGTCGAATGTAAGCATTGGCTTCAGTGTATCGCAACCATGGGAATCAGTAAAATCTCATCTCAACAACCAGAGTGTCAAAGAGGAGGACCAGAAGAAGGACGTCGAAGGTGTAAGAAGCTTGGGCTCGAGGGATCGTCAGGGCGAGCGCGCGGGACGGTGCGACGTCATCGCTGTTATGCTAAATTTGTCGCTCTGACGTGCCTCACGATCGGCGAACGATGCGCATCGTCCAGGAACAAAGTTTGCGTCACTGAGTGTCGCATCTTCATATAAGAAAGCTGATGCTCTCGCTGTTGGCCTGAGGAGGTGGGGAATCTGACGCTCGGCATGCCTGGAAGGTGCGGATGACGCGTCACCAAGGCTAAGTAAGACCGTACCACCACAGGCGTCCCCAGCGAATATTCACCTTCACAGCCCCAAAAGACAGAAATATTCGCATCAAAATTGCGCCCAGAGGCAGAAGAAAAAGGAGGACATATCGCAGTTTACAAAGCTAAGGAAACCAGAGGCTCCAAGAGTCGGGCCAAGTTCAGGTCCGAAACCTTCCAGCCAACATAGCCTCCCCGGGCTGTCCGGAAACCACACTTCCACGCGTGTCTACGCAGCAGACGAAGCTGGGGTGTTACGCGTTTCCGAGTGCCAACTGGTCTTAGACGTGGTCGATAGGTGGGGTAACGCAGCTTTACTGGCTGCCCAGGCACGTGAATATGTGACGCAGCCAATAGCATGGTGAAAGGGTCGCATCCTCCTAGCAACCGATTGGGTCTTTGGTTCGCATCAGACGCACGATCTGGAAGACCTTGCGGTTCCCGAAGCGATAGCTGTAACGGTATATAGGTAAGTGATTGTGGCACGCAGGGTCTCGCAACTCGGTGTCTGTGGGACGTTGCCGCATCACACCATACTATTTCGTCGTCGTCAGCGCAACGCTGACCATCCCCTCGGTCTTTTTCTTGTCACTCCTGCAGCTTCCGGAACCTCCGCGCATTAGGCTCACTCTCTGCCTTACCTTTGTTGATCGTGAGCGTGTCACTACAGCAAACACTACTTCATCCCTATATCACCCGCTCCCGTCGCACGAGATTCTGTACCACAGCATATACCCCTTCCTCCGCAGTCACCATGTATCTTCAAAAAAGAAACAACATGGGCTTCGACATCGCCCCAGCCCTCATCATATTTCTCGTTATCCTCGGAGCAGGCGCGCTCGTCTGCTGCGGTTTCGCGGTCTACCGGTTCTACGGCGGAGAGCCCGAAGATGATTCAAGACGTTTCCACAGAAGCCCAGAGCAAGACTCCTACATGAGAGAAGTGCGGGAACGAAGTTGGCGCAAGCTACCCCAGCTGGGTATGCCAAAGCCCTACTATCAGTCCAACCTGGGTCACGCACCGATGAGTCCAAGGTAAGATGACGTCGCTTCACCTGTGAATGTAGCCTCAAGCTGACTTGAACAAGCGGTAGCAACACTACGTACGGATGAGAAACTGAGCACCCTCCAGCCTCGTCGAGGTGGATGCCGAAAAAGACTGCAACACATGCGGCCTGAGAGGGCGTGAGGCCCTACAACAGGATGAACAGCGACGCGACACTACGAAACGACCGAGAGGCACTACTTTTGCAATTATATTGGATCAGACCTCATAAGAGATGTTCGGAATTTTGTTTGGGTGATAAGAAGCGTTCGACGGATCGACCACCACTCCCGGCCTGACGGACCCCTTTCGTCGAAGCCTTCCTCCTCCAGATACTTCACGATTGAGGAGAAGTGGCTGTGAAGCCACTGATCGACAGGGGAAAATCTTTACCTCACGATCAGTATACTGTCAACCTCCCGGGGAAGCGGGGTGGTCCGAGACGGACAGATAGTTCTGGGGCGGGGTTCCGGGACATGGTTTCCATAAGGATAGATTGGAGTTTCCAAGGGTTTTATACCTCTTGACTGATGTAGTGTTCCGAACAACGCAGTGCAAGTTCTTCACTCTATCACGCATGCGGTCCTTGCCATGAGCGTGAACTGGTACCAAACCGCAACACCCCGGTGACTTTGACAGACGACATCGCAAGACGTGCAAGGGGTATCCGTGCTTTCTTACCATGTTTCCCGAGCATGGACACGACTCAGATGTCAGCACGAAAGACGGATTGGGCCACTGGAGCCTCGTCGGACGACCAAGATTCCGTTTTCCGAATGGCCGAGAGATGCCCACGAAGCTGGGTATAGCCACAGCCACAGCTGAGTCTTGCAGCCGTTTACTGATATGCGCAGGGTCCGAAAGTCTAATTGTACGCTGGTTTGAGTCCAGGCTGTATTCCTTGTGAGCCGTTCCGTGTC